AGAAGACGATCTTTTGGTGCCGCGTCGTACTGATGTTCTATACACGAGTAAAGAGTCTTCAGTGAAGAGGACTTGATCGTATTCAGCATAGCTATGGCCCGCGTGGAGACTGGAGTGCAAATGTCTTCTACCGCGCCAACCAGGAACGTGAAAGACTGGGCAAGAGCGGACATTGCGAGTTTGTTCGACTTGATCTGTTCGATATCGAGAAATCGAGCAATGACGGTGAATTTCTCGACGCCAGCGAAGCGCACCCGCCAGTCGTCGTCAGTAAATGCGTTTTCTACGTTGTCGCAGAATTTTTCCGCACCGTACGGCAGACATATGCAATGGAGAAGGATCTCAACGCAAATTTCTGAAAGATTGGAGTGTTCGGCACGAATCATGTCCCACAAACTGTAAAAATACAACAAACGTTCTGTTATGTCGCGCAAATATAAGATATGCGACTGGAAATGTTTCTGAATACTCACGGAGCATACCAATACATGAGAGGACAGGGATTATCGGAATATACTATGTAAATGTGKTTAAATAATAAGATACGGATTGGATCAAGACTATCCTGGAATGAGAGGATAGTRCAGCAAGATAGGCCTTGTCTGAAATAGTATTGCGCGTTGCATTGTGGTCTAGATTCGGTACAAACATCTTTTGTTTATTCGGCCAAATATGGCATTGTTTGTACTGAAGCTAGGCCACAATGCAACATGATTTCGCATTTCAAAAAAKGTCTATGTATTGAAGATCCCGAAAACAACAGTGTATATGGATACGTATGAGGTTACGTATACGGGCGGAAAATGTAATGATTAAGTATCGGACTGAGATAAACGAAGAGAAGACTTACTTGGGAATAAAGAATATTTCTTGTAAGTAGGCCAAGAACTCMGGTTCAGCRTCCATGGCGATCTTGAGGTAATCACCATCTATAACAAGTATCTTGACACACTTTAACATGTTGTACTGGACGATGTGGTCCTGTTGCTTGGGTAATTCCTGTAACCAAAATCACAATTAAC